TTAGGTACCCTGACATTTGGGGGCGTATATATTTACTATCATATCTTCTTGTAGGATTGTTCCCTTTCCCACTATGTAGTGGCCTTCTTGTCTCTTCTGATGAGCTTTTGCTTGAAATCTGCTTTGTCAGAAATAATAGTAGCTACTCCTGCTTGTTTTTGGACTCCATTTTCACAATTTTTTACCCCCATCCTTTTACTTTCAGCCTGTGGAGTATCTTTGCCTATGAGTCTCTTGCAAAAGCATATAATTGGATATCTTGCTTTTAATCCATTCTGCTAATCTATGTCTTTTAATTGAGGAATTGAGACCATTTACAGTCAGTGTTGTTGTGCAGAGATGTTTGTTGTTTCCTGCCATTTCAGTTCATTGGTTGTACTTACTTCTGTTTTGGTTTTCATTTATTTGGTTGCTGTCCTAATGATCTTCATCTTTCTGAGGGCTTTGGGATTTGGGGGGGGGTTCTGTATGCAGCATATCTTCGAATATTGTATGCTATGCTGATTTCGTGCTCATGAATTTTTTTAGTTTATCCTGATACGGAACATTCTTGTTTCTCCACTGATTTTGAAAGAGAGCCTTGCTGGATAGAGCAATCTTGGCTGATAAATGTTTTCTTTTGGAGCTTGGAATATCTCCTTGATTTCAGGGTCTGAGTTAAGAAGTCAGAATGGAGCCTTATTGGCTTGACTCTAAAAGTGACCTGATATTTTTTCTTTTGCAGCTTTTAACACTTATTTATTTTCTATATTAGGCGTTTTTATTATGAGGTATCTTGGAGTGATTCTTTTTGATCTTGTCTATTTGCTATTCTATATGCATCCTGTATGTGATGGTCCATCTCATTTCTAAGGCAAGGAAATTTTTCTGCTATTGTCTCACTGAAGAGTTTCTTAATGTCTTTAGCCTGTATCTCCTGTTCTCTTCTGTCCAAGTGACTCTCAAGTTTGTTCTCTGAATGCTGTCCCAGAGGTCTTGTATATTCTGATCATGGTTTTTTAAATTTTATTTATTTATTTTATCACTTACTGAGTATTCAAGTTTATATATCTGTCTTTAAGGCCTAAAGTTCTATTTTCTATGCAATCTAAATTGTTGGTGATGCTTTCAAGTGAATTTCTAATTGGATTAATTGTGTCTTTCTTTTCCAGGAGTTCTGACTGGTTTCTTTTTAATATGCCAATTTATTTATTAAAATGATCTTTCATCTTCTGTATTTTCTCTCTTTATTCATTCCTTAGATCTTCTTTTAGTTCATCAAATATTAATGATCAGGTTTTTTTTTCTTTGTGTGTGTGTGTATATGTGTGTGTTGTGTGTGTGAGGTGTGCTTGCACAGTGTGTGTTGCGTCGTGCCTTGGTGAGCAGAGCTGGTGGCCTGAGTGGCGGGACAGCCCCCATGCTAATCAAGATGCCTACAGAGAGCAAAGCTTAGCTTCCCCATCAAAGCTAACAGCGAGTCCCTTGGGGGCGGTTGGAGCACCTCGGTGACCCCAGCCAGGCTTGCTGGCAGGCTCAGCCCTGAGGTTTGGCTCACCCCGGGGTCTGCTGCACTGGTACCAGCAATGGGGCTAAGTTGGAAAGGAAGAGGGAGGCCAGGACTCCCCTCTGCTGGGCTTGGGCACGCGGGTGAGCTACAGGCAAAGGGGTAAAGGCGGGGCGCCCACATGCCCCGGCTCAGCCACTGGGAGGCCGTGTCCCAGGCAGCCTGCAGGGGGCGCTGCACACTCCCGTTGGTCGGAGCTCTGGGTGCACAGTGCGAGCTGCCCAGACACGCCTGGCATGCAGCCACACAGACTGAGTGTTTGCAGAGCCAGGTCCAGAGACGGAGGCACAGGAGCAGGGTCAAGGGCCTCACGGGTGTGTCCTCGGTAGCCCTCTCCTCCTCAGTGCCCCAGAAGGACGGCATTCTTCCCCGAGCGAGGTGGCACCTGACCCAGCCAGCAGACCCAGGCAGGCCCCACTTGCCTGCATGTAAACATTCGGGTTCAGGGTGAATGCCAGATATACCTGAGCACATTCTTGTGAAGCAGCGAGATAAACAAAGTCCTCCTCTGTAGAGGGTGCTATTTCATGAGCGACCTCACAACCCTGGCTAGAGTCGGAAGGTCCCCGTGAGCTACCCTCTCACTACCTCCTCCATCTGCCGCAGTCCTGTCCCCTGAGCTGGGAGGGGAGAAGGTTAGATCATCAAGAGAACTTAATGAAAACAAAGAAGCAAACCAAACAGGCCCAGAGAAGCAGAGACAGTGCCTCTGTGCCACCCACAACTCCGAGATGGCCCCACTCAGACTGCAGGAGATCAGGCCCTGGGGTGCATGTCACCCTGCACTGCACTTGTCTGGAGGCTTGTCACTGGTCACCTCATCTGTACTTATCAGCAGCACCACCAGGGACAGACCAGAAGGCTCCTAGAGCACCTGGGTCTATTCTGATCACCTCCCAAAGCCCCCCAGATCTTAGAGCCTCCCTGAGATCTGTGATCATTCACCTGCAAATTTGACAAACCCTGTGGACCCAGGCTTAATAATGTCTGTCTCACACAATGAAGCCTGTAGACCTCGCAGGGTTGGGGAAGTACCAATAATGCCGCCGGGGACCCTGGATCTTTTTAGCTTCCATCTTCACCAAACCTCATGTTCACCTCCTTCCCCTGGATCATTGCTTTGTGATCACAAAATGGCTGTTGCAGCCCCAGACATTCCTTCTGTGGTTCAAGGAGGAAGAAAGAATGAGATCAAGAAGGTGGGGCGTGTTTCAGGGAAGTAGAAGCTTCCCCAGAGGCTACAGCAGATCTCTGGCTAAGTTTTATTTGTCAGAAGCGTTATGAGGCCGCCCCTGGCTTCAAAGGAGTCTGATAGATTTATTTTTACTGGGCGTGTTACCTGACTGGACATAACTGGGCTTCTGTTAGGATATGGGGGCGGAGGTATTGTCGCCCTGGCAGGTAATTGAGGAAACCAGAGTCTCACCCGGGATGAAGTGAGTGTCTAAAGGCAGGAGGTCTGGTATGAGGAGGACTTTCCCGAGTCTTACCAAAGATGGACTTACAGCCAAACTCCTCTTGCAGGGAATGTGAGGAGAGCTTTGACCTTGGGGAGCTGCGGGTGTCACAGGCGGCGTCTCTAGTCAGGAGGTTCCGGGGATGAGGGTGCCTCCCGCGGGAACCCTCAGCCCCTCCCAGGGCCACCCACAGGCCCCACACTGCTGGCCCCTGGGGTGGGCTTCACAAGGACCGACTCCTGTCTGCCCATGCCCCGTCAGTGGGACGACTGTGTCCCTGTGGCTGCGCATTCTGGACCCAGCGTCCCTTACCGGGCCTGGATCTCAGGCAGTTGATGGGTTCAAAGCCACATAAGACAAAGATGGAGGATGCCCTCTCTGTGCTGGTGACGGTGGGCCTGGCCCAGAGCTCCCGAGCACGGGCAGGGAACCCCGTGGTCTCAGCCCCGGCTGCCCAGTGCAGAGCCCAGCTCCAGCAGGGGCCAGGGCCTCGACTCCCACCAGGACCTGCGGGTGGGCAGAATCCCAGGCTCAGCGCCCGTCGCCTGTGTACTGGCTCAGGAGTGTGTCCCCCGCTGACCCCAGGGTTGCTGCCACCTCAAGACTGGGCCCCTGGTGGGAAGTACAGCCCCTTAGCAAAAGGAGATGGCTACGTGCTGGAGTTGAAATCCCCCACCCCAGCGTGCGGTTCCCAGAGCCTGGGTTGCACTAGCTCTGTGGGGTGGAGACCCAGCAAAAGGGAAATGGGGCCCTCGGGGGCCTCCTGGACTCGGGGCTTCTGGAATGGGCCTACCCAGCCTCTGGCTCCCCTCACCCCTGCAGAGAGCAGCTCCCCCACCCCGGGATGGGCCGACCAGCCTTCCCAGGTGCCCGTGCGCCCACCACCTGCCTCAACCCCACCCCTGGCCAGGAGAGTGCAGCCCTGAGGGGCCTGGGTCTTCTGTCCCACTGTGGTGAGGTGGAGGGCAGGGGTCCTGAGGGACACCTGGGGACTCAAGCAGGTTGCCCAGGCCGGTGGTGAGAGCTGCCAGGCACCTGGCCTGCAGGACTAGGGCAGCCTTGGTCAGTCAAATCAGCCTGCTCAACCTGCCTCCCCGTGGGCCAGGGGCAGGGTGGGGAAGGCTCTGCAGGTGGCCTCGCAGCATCTCCCAGAGGGACCAGGACCCCTCCATCTGCCTTGCCCGCCTGGCACCTTCCCCAGGGTGAGCAGCTTCTGGTCACAGGGGCCTGTCCCCACCCCTGTCTGGGCCCCAGTTCCCGCCCCAGTTGTGGTCCTCCTTGGAGGAACTGCCCAGGCCTCGCTGACCCCCTCCACCCTTCAGCACCTGCCTTCAGAGGCTCCAGCCTGGGGGGAGGGTCTGGGTTCCCAGACCAAGGCCTACTTCCTTGGGGCTTGGGGACACCAAGATCTGAGGCCAAGGGATGGAAATCACCCTGACCTGGTGAACCGAGGTCCTCTGGATACCTGAGGAGTGACAGAGGAACTGCTAGGTTTTATCCCCAGGACGCTCAGTGGACATCTCCCTCTCTGGATCCTGGGCTGCCTTCTGGGGACGTGGGCCTGGGGTCCCCTGGGTCCTCCCTGGGCCTCATTTCCCATCCCACGTTTTATCCTCAAGGCTGCAGAATCCATGATTTTTAGACCCTGGGGCACAAGAGGACGCGTGGTAACAGGCAGAGCCTGACAGCGGGCTGGTTCCCTGCAGCCCAGCCCGGGGCCCATCCCACAGCTTGACCCTCTGCGACTTTGCAATGTGTGAATTCGTCCTCCCCATGGCCGGGAGGAAGAGCTGGGCGAGTTGCCGTGTGAGGTGGAATTAGCGCTTTGGTCCTGGGGTCTCTTAAAGCCAATGGCTGTGGATTGTAACTTGAGATACACATCTCTGAAGTAGGGAGCTTGGCTTGGCAAAGACTTGGAGGACCACACTGATGAAAAGAAGAGCCGGTGACACCGAGTCTTCGTTCTCCAGGGCTCTAAGTGATCCCTCTTCTCACAGGTAAGCCGGACCCAGGATCCCGTGATAACAAGTGCCAAGCTGCTGAAGTCGCGCAGAGGAATGTGTTTAAAGGAGTCGGAGCCCTGACAAGTCCTGAGCCTAAGACGGAGGTTAGGAGGAGGTGGGACTCCAGAGAAGCACGGCCCTCCTGCAGCTGCCTCGGTCCTGGGGCATCTGCTGATGGAGGCCAAGGAGCTAAGCAGCACTTTTGTCCTCCTCATAGGCAGGAGGTCAAGAGCAGAGGTCTAGTGCCTGCCAAGGTCAGGACCTTCATAATGCCTGAACTTTGGGTGGGGAACACAGTGGGCCATGCCCTCAGAGTAAGGAGGGAGAGAACTTATCCTCACGTGGACCGTGGCTCTAAAGATATCTACCACTGATGTTGTATGCAGGTGACCCCAGGTTGTTAGTACCTCCTGGCACCTGGCTGAAATAAAAGAAAACCATTGCAACCTCCTTCCAGCCTCAAATGATTCCTAAGCAGTCTTCCAAATACAGTCTTGTCATTCCATCCACGATAACCAGAAGTACAAGGAGACACCACATCGCAAATTAGAACTAGCAAAGAACAGGCAATCGGGACACACGAGGCTACAAATGAAAGAATTATCAGACACAGTCTCTACAACAGCGATGCTTATGGCATTCAAGGATATAAAAGAGCATTTTAAAATTTCAGTGGAGGGCTGGGGTTGTGGCTCAGCAGTAGAGCACTTGCCTCATACCTGTGAGGTAATGGGGTTCGATCCTTAGCACCACATAAAAATAAATAAAGATTTAAAAATTTTCAGTGGAAAGCTGGAAATAGTGGAAAATGACAGCAGCTTTGGAAAAAATGATTCTAAACCAAAAAATATAATAACAAATTAAAAATGCAGGGGGCATTTTTTTACAGCACACTGAAAACATCTGGAGAGAGAATTAATGAACTGGAAGATAGGTCAGAAGAAAATATCCAGGGGAAGGAGAAGAGAGACAAAAGATGAGAAAAGAGAAAGCCAGCCTGGGCGAGGGGGCACAGAGGAAGGTTTTATCCCCAGGACGCTCAGTGGACCTCTCCCTCTCTGGATCCTGGGCCGCCTTCTGGGGACGTGGGCCTGCCTCACAAGGAGGGACAGCGTGGGGAGAGCTGTTGGAAGAGGTGACAGCTGAGAGCGACTGAGCTCACAGATCTCCCTGAGCTTTCTCCTTAGGAAGACTGAATGTTTCTTAAAAAATAAAATCCTTAATGACGAGGGGTGTAGCTCGGTGGTAGAGCTCTTGTCTAACATGCACAGGGCCCAGGGTTCAGCCCTCAGCCCCACAAAAAGTGAAAAAAAAAATATATATATATATATAAAATAAAAATGCTTAATGATCCCTATCAGATAACTAGGGAGCAAAAGCCTCTATTTTTGAGGTAAGGAGACAGGAGAACTTAAATTAAGCAGGTCTGAACTAATTTGTTTTCAAATATCTTTTTTTCTGTTCTGTGAAAGTCTACTCATTTTGATAAACGGGTCATCAAACTAGGGCTATTTCAGTCACCATTCTGTTGACATCTGATTCTGTGCTTTGGGAATAAAGGTGAATGGTTTCCTAAGCATTTGAAAATAAGAACCTAAGCTCGTCCTCTGAGAGGACCCTGGAGGTACAGACATCGCTGAGCAGGGCAGAGATGAGCACAACTATCAGCAGCCGTGTTTAAATGATGGGTTCGTTTGAGCCCACATAAGGCAGGGGAGCTGCTTGTCTGGGAACCCCTGTGTGAAATTCCCCCTTGGAGGAAGCCCAGGTCACGCTGGTGCCCCGCCTCAACTCCCAGCCCTAGGATCAAACACAGCTGCCTGGAGATGGCGGAACCTGCCACCCTCCAAACAACCCGCTTACCCGGGGTCCCGGCCACACTGGAAGCTTGATGTACTTCCTTAAATAAGGACTGGGGCCTTGACCAGTGTTCAGTTCCAGCTCCTCTCAGGGCCGGGAGACCCATCAGACGCCCTCCTTTTAATCTAACTTCTGTCTTTTATTCCTTACTGATTACTTCAGACTTTATTTTCCCACCCAAGAGGCTCACACCTCCAGGCAGGAACCTGCTCTCCCGGGGTGCGGTAACCCCGACACACAACTCCCTCAGACACAGAGCAGCTCCGGGCCGCTGGAGCACAGTGACCTGAGTGATGACGGTCTCCACCTGCTCAGGTGTGTGAGGCCTGGTTAGTCAGCCACAGAAGCAGAGTAAAAGGGAGGCCCCAGGGACCCACACTGGCCGACGATTAAAGCCAAGTCCAGGGCAAGGACTGGACATTCCCATTCCCAGGCCCAGCTGTCCAGAGAAAGCTCCCGTCCCATTTCGAACAAGAAGTGAGAAGCCCAGATCGACTGATCCCTGCACTGAATTACAGGTGGAAGATCTCCAACAAACCAACCAGGGCTAGGAAGAAGATGCTAGTTAAGGAGGTCTGAGTAGTCAAGTGGACAGTTAACCAGCCACGATGAGCATCTTTGTAAAGGACTGAGCAAAATTGACCAACTAGCAGAGAAACTAGAGAAAGACAAAAACGTTTTGATAGATACTGCCAACAAGGAGAAGTTTACTCATTTGCCAACAAAATAATGTACTAATTTGGAAGCTACCATAAAAAGGCTGAGATCTATCATTTTTGAGACTGAAAAAGTCCAAAATAAATATTCCAGACTTGATTCCTTTGTTAAGACTTTAGAAGCAGAGATTATTAGAAAAGTAAAGCTGAGGACCTCAGAAAAGTGGTCAGAAGTAGATCTAAAACCCAAGATGCCTGTTTCCCTCCTGCCGGGGCAAACCATGATGCTGCGGACCTTTGGAAGGCAGCAGGAGGAGATGGTGAAGAGCTTCAACGCATGGTGGGAAACGCAAGCATCATTTGGCAGAAATTCAGGGTGATGTCAAGGCCCTTAGATGGGAGGGAGATAAAGCACAGGAAGAAACTGCCCAACTTGGAGGAGAAATAATGAGATGCTGCAAGTCCCCCCACATCAACGATTTTTATATTCTATAAAATTACCTTTTATATGTATAAGATGCATATGAAACGTAAATGAATTTTGTGTTTAGACCTATCTCCCAGATATGGCATTATGAATATGAAAATATTAAAAATATCCTAAATAATCTGAAACTTCTGTCAGGGAAGCTGCTTGTCTGGGAACCCCTGTGTGAAATTCTCCGTTGGAGGAAGCCCAGATCACGCTGGAGCCCCGCCTTAACTCACAGCCTTAGGGTCAAACACAGGGGACACTTGGCCTGGAATCAGTGTGTTGTGCTGACTGATGTGACTCTGCTGCCACAGGTGCATCCAGAGGCCAGGGTTGGGATCCACAGGGCTGGTCCAACATCTAGATCAGGTTATGTGGCCAAGATAGTGCCGTGGGTCCTCCTGGATCCAGGTGGGAGCCCTGGTGTCCCTGGTGCCTAAACATGGCCTTACTTCTCTTAAAAGTCAACGTGGTTTAATCACACATTTAATAATACATTTAATAACTACGTCTATGATTAAAAGATCACGAAACAGCTTACCCTTCTCTCGGCTCCACCCGACTTCCCCCGACAAAGGCAATCCATCTCCGCTCATTTCTTCTGGAACTCACCATCCTGACCTTTCCCCCGGCACTAGGGATGGAACCCTTATGATCTCTTCTATTTCCAGAATAATACTGAGTCACATCCCCAGCCCTTTTTATGCTTTATTTTGAGACAGGGTCCTGCTAAGCTGTTGAGTCTGTCCTTGAATTTTAATCCTGCCTCAGCCTCCCGAGTTGCTGGGATGACAAGGGTGTCCCACCATGCCCAGCTCCCACCATCACAGAGTCCCCCCAGTGTTCCTTTACATTATCTTATTGATCTGAAATATGCGGCAGGGGAGATGGAGGAATATGAAGAGGCTCTACTTCCTGGACCTCCCTGTCTTCATGACTCAGCATTTTATCCACATTTCCCACTGTCCTCTGTGCCTTCTTGTCCCCTGGTGGTTCTCTTTCACTGTGCACTGTTATTGCCTGTGGGTACGATCATTTTCGTCTCTCTGAGGATATTCAGGATATTTTGTGAAGATTTCTTCTATTTCCAGAGTAATTCCTGTGTCCTTCACATCTAGAGTTCTGTGTGTTTGTTTTACAGCTTTTCCCAGCTTTATGTCTCTGGGTGGCCCCTGTGATGCCCCTGTCCCAACTTGGAGTCCATCCTGTGCTCTTCCTTCCCCTTAAATGTGGGAAGGATGTGTGACCTGCTTCCAACCACCTGAACACACTTGTAAGGGTGATGGAAAGGTGTAAAGGTGACCAGGAGCGGCTGTGGGCAGTGAGCCCGGGGCCAGCTGGAGAACCCAGGAAGCAGGTGCCTGCAGGGCTGGGCGGCCTCCAGGTAGCAGCCTCAGGACACTGAAGCCTGCAGTGAGCAACACAAGGACCTGGGTTCTGCTGGGGACAGCGTGAGCTTGGAAGCCTGGTCTGTCTCGTCTCACCAGTGGACACAGCCAGACTGACACCTCGCTCAGCCTGGCTCGGGCCTGAGCAGAGGACTCACTGAGCCATCCCCGGCCACACTCACTATTGAGAAGTAAGAGCCCCAGGAATGACGTTTCTGACATCACAAAAGAAAGAGCATGCCAGGCATTGGCAAGGAGGGAAGCAGCTGCCACTCACTCCCTTGCTTGGGGGAGGGTGAAATGACCAGCCACTCTGGGAAGCAGTTTCACCAAGTCCTAAAAGGCAGAGCACTGCAGCAGTAACGTGACGCCATCACAGACAGATCAGAACGTCCAAACTCCGAAACACCGACAGCACCTCACCTCATGGCGAGGCCGTGAGCAGCGAGGCGCCCACACTTTGCTGGTGGGAAAGCACATGGCACCGTCCCTCCGGAGGGAGAGCTCAGAGGTTCCCTGGCAACGGCGCGTCCTCTTAGCAGATCATCCAGCTGTCTCAGCACTTGCTTGGCCTTTACCTGCAGGCCCATGTCTTCAGCTTTGCACATGATTGCTAAAGCTCGAACCCCCCAAACATCCCTCAGCAGGAGAGTGGGTAAGCTGTGGTAGATCCAGACAATGGAAAGTCCTTCAGCACCAAATGAAATGAGCCACCGGGCCACGAAAAGAAGGGGAGGAAACTCAAATGCATGTTCTCCAGTGGAAGAAAGCAGTCTGGGAAGACTACATAGCTCGTGAGTCCAGCTACATGGTGCCCTGTGAGCGCCAAGGTCACGAGGAAAAGGAAAAGCCAAGTAGTTGCTGGGCCAGGCAGCATGGAGGGTGGGTGAGTACGAAGGGTGTGACAGCGTCAGCTGTTCTGGGTGATACTGCAAGTGTGGGTCCAGATCACGGTGCCTTAGTCAGCCCCACAGAACCTTCAGCACCAAGAGGGACCCCGCCTGGAAGGCTCAGGGTGACACGGTGCGTCACTGTAGATGACGGGTCCTGCTCTGCTTGCTACAGTCCTGGGCACTGACCGTAGGGAAGGCCATGTGAGTGTGGGGTGGGGTGTTGGGCGAGCTCTATTCTTTCTACTTAGATTTACTATGAACCAAAAACTATCTAATAACCAAATCTAATTTTTTTTTAAAAAGTTAAACATTTACATCTTTATGATCCAGCAGCTCCACTCCTGGGGTCACACAAAAGGCTGGACATAGAGGTCAGAGCAACTCTGACCGCA